AATTAGTTTAGTTTTTAGTTTTTTTATTTTATTTATTAATAATTATTATTTATTTTTTTTTTTTTTTTTTTTTTTTTTTTTTTCATATATATATAAAATCTATTATTTATTCATTAATTTCATAATTCATTACTAAACTAATTTTCAGGTTAGCCCTAAAATAACTTAGGTTTGTTAAAAAAAACATATAAAATGTTAAAAATCTACTAGGGAGTGTAAAATGTATCACTTTTAATCATAATAAAAGCATATAACATAGTCATTAAAATAATCAATAAGGTAATTTCTATACAAAATGGACCACATAATTAACTTTATTTCTTCGTTTATGGACTAGTTTATAATTCTTTTAAATAATCTTCAAATACTAGTCTGTCTGATTAATCTAAAGAACTTAAAAATTTCTCTTTTCTCTTTTATGATTCGATTATCTTTTATTAGCTTTGATTTTAGGTTTATTCTATTTATGATTATGGGTCTTATTAGAAGTTTTGTTGTGTATTTAAGGAGTTTTATTGAGGTTTTTTTATGTTTTATTCTCGGTTTTGGGAATTTTATTCAGGGTTCGTGGAGTTTTATTAAGGTTATTTTTCAGATGTATCAGACTATTTTCCACTTAGGAAAAAAATTGATACTAATGCTAATATTGAACCTAATAATATTGCTGCAATCATTTTTTATTTTTTAAAAATTATAATATTTTGAAAAGAAAGAAATATTAATTTGATAAATTTATTTTTTTATAATAAATTAAATATAAAAAATAAAATAAAAAATTTAAATTAAAAATAGAAATAAAATATAAATTCTTTATAAAAATACAATAAAAATATATATAAATATAAACCAGTTTAAAAATATAGCAATTTATTTTCATTATATTTTTGGGGCTCCTAAATACATTCTTGAAAAGATGTGAGATGATTTGGTCCAACTATAAAGAATATTAAATAAATTGATATATATATATATATAAAAAAATATAAATATATATATATATATATATATATATTATAATTATACATTATAAATATTAGATTTTAAGTACTCTTTTTTATATTATTCTAGTTTTTCTTTATTATTATCGTAATATGATTTTTTAGTAATAAAAGGAAGTAATACAGAATTTCTTTTTTATTCTTCAGGTTTTTTATATTCTTACCTTTTTTTTATATTTATATTTTTATTATAAAATATTATATACATGTTCATTGTTATAAATTATTCGTTATTTACTTTTTTACTATCTTCTTAAAAATTTAACCAACTTTTACTAGTATTTTAAAATTTTTCCTGTTATTATTAAATATTTTTTTTAAAGTATTTTAATTAATATATACTTCTTGTAAAGTATATTTTGTATAATTATCAGTAGAAAATTTTTATTCATTTATAAATTTATGTTAGGGTCTATTAGGATCACATTTTTCTTCATACCAATTTCCAATTAGAACGCTTGAATTGAATTTTTTTTCTGGTAATGTAGATTATTGAAGAACAAAATCCTTAATCATTTTTTTATTTTAAAAAATAATATTTATTTATAATTAAAAAATAACTTTTTTTTTATAATATAATTATTTTTCGTTAAATTATATTAAATATAGTTTTTTATTTATTTTTTCTTAGAATAAATATATGATAATTATATATTATTTTATAAAAAAATAAATTATATATTAATTATATTAAAAGACTCTTTTTTAAAATAGATTCCATTATTTTAAAAATAAAAAAAAAGTATATAAAAATATAGTAATTATATATAAATTGCATTTTTATGTTGTATAAAATATTATATTTTAATATAGTTTATTTTTTATATAAAATTTAAATATTATAAATATTAAATATATATATATATATATATATATATTTATATTTATTTTTATTCTTGTTTAATATATTAATTATTATATTTTTATTTTTATTATTAATATCTATTATAACCTATTTAAATATATAAATATTTTTATCATAAGAAAATATATAAAAATGTATTAAAACTAAGAAATAATAATGCTTATATGCAATGTTTTATCAATTATATCTACAGCTTTTTTATTATTATTATATTTTTTTAATAGAAAAAGTAATACATTTGCATTTAGATTAGTCATAACTTTATTTTTTTCTGATTTTGTTTTTTCTCTTATTTGGTTTTTACCAATTGTTTATGATATTTCTTAAGATTTAAAATATACAAGTAATAATTATGTATGTAATATAGTAGGTACTTTAAAACTTTTTGCAATAAATTCGTCTTATTTTTGTACTATGAGTATTTCATGGACTATATATAAATAATTAATATTAAAAAAACCAATAAAGACTAGAAATATAGCAAGATATTATGCAAAATATACACTTATTTTACCTTTTATATTATCTTTATTCCCTTTGATTTCAAATAAAGTAGGTCATATAAATCCTTTTAATAGGTTTAATTGTTTTATAGTCGTAAAAAAAAACGAATTCGACTTTTTAGGGTAAAGTTTAAGGATTTTATTATATTATGGAACATTTGGAATGACTTTTTTTTTCGATATATTTTGCGTAATTTCTGTATATATATATTTCTGGAAAAATGAGACTATATAGGATATAAAAAAATAAGTAAATATATTACTTTTATATCCAATTATTCTATTTATATCATGGATTTGGGTTATGATATAGAAAATAAATGAAAGCATTTTTAAACAGGAAGCGATTGAGTGGATTAGTAAAATAGATATATCTTTTGCACTTTTAAATGGATTTTTAAATTCAATTGTATATGGGGCTTTCAGTTTAAATATTAGGTGCTGTTTTTAGACAAAAGTAGATAAAAAAAAAAATGATAATAATAATAATAATAATAATAATAATAATAATAATAATAATAATAATAATAATAATAAAAATACTTTGAATTAGGCATTTTCTGATAGTAATTATAATTATTATATTTAATAAAACTAATTTGATTCTGATAGTGATGGAATTTTTGTAGAATCTTATAATTGAAACACTAAAATTTATATAATATTTTTTTTATATGTTATTTATGTGTTTTTTTTTCAATATTATTATAATTATTTTATAAAATAATGAGAATGTTACATATAATTTTTTTTTTTTTTTTAATAAAAAAAATATCATTTATTAATATTTAAAAATATATTTATTTATAAAAGATGTCATAAGAATTAAATAAATTAAAATAATAAATAAATATTGAATAAATATATCATACTTAAAATCAATATAAATATATAGGAGTTGATAAATAAAAAAATTTATAACTAACTTAACAACCATTTAAAATTTAATAAAAAAAATTATTTGAAGCCTTTTTATATAGAGATATGAATTATATTTATAGTTTTGATGATGAAACCTTAAAATATAGAGATAAATATATATAAAGGAGTTTAAAACTAGGACTATCTTACTTTTTTTTTAGTGGAATTTTTAATAGTTTATATTATAAATACATTGTTAAAAATATGTAAATTCCATTTTTTGGAAAAGTTATGATTTTTGTTATATTTAATGGGATATCAAGTATATATTGTAGTTATAAAGGAAATATAGATTATAATAAAACTAACAATTTTTTATTTGATAAATATTTATAAGAGAAAAAATGAAAAAAAATAAAAATATAAAAATATGTATTATATATATATATATATATATATATATATATAATTTTATTTCTATTTTAGCTTTAATTAAACTTTAATTTTTATTGGATTTAATACAAAATTGTAATTAATACTATTTTATTTATATTTAAATATTTTTTTTATTTATTTTTTATTTTTTTAAGATTATAACATAATTATATATATTTACTTTTATAATTTATTTAAATATTTTATAAATTTTTATCCATATTATATTATGAATTGTATATTTCTAATATATATTAGCTTTTAAATATAAATATTATATCTTAGATATTTGTTTTTTTAGTTTTCACACACTACTTTTAATTAAGAAGGAAATTAATATTAATGTGGATATATTTATATATATATATAATTATATATATTTTAATACTTATAAAATAATATTTAAGTTTGTATATATATAACTAATATACTTAATATTATTTTAATTATTTATATTTATTTTACCAATATTTAATAAAATTAAATAAAAACAAAATCGAATACATGTCTTTTTAAAAAAAAGAATACTATCAATAAACTTCTGCATAATAAGAAGGTATAGATGAATTAATTCAAAACGAATACGATTAAATATATGAAAAGAATTAAAATGACTCCAGTTCTGGAGAAAGTAGTGAATATAATGCTAATAATACATTATAAGATTTTAAATTACATATGGATTAATTATTAGAAAATATTATAAAATAAATACATTAGAATAATATATAGGAATTTACAATAAAATTATAAAATCCCATCATATAATAAAATATGTAATTTTTTATAAATGAACTTGACAAATATGGATAGAATATGTTACATTATGCAGTCTATTTATAAAATCAAAAAATCATATATATATTAGTAATAAATGGAGCTAATGTAAATATACCCAATAATAATGGATGGACTTCTTTATAAATAGCCGTATTTAATAATAATCTCGAAAATTTGAGAATTCTATTGAAATCTAATAGCCTAGATTTGAATTTTGTATCTACAATCGGCTCAGTGTTGCATGTAGCATGCTATTATGACAGACCTTAAGCCTTAAAAATATTAATAGAGTATAATGTTAACCTTTTATTATAAAATGATTAAGGATAAACATGCTTTGAAGTCTGTTAAAGGCAAGAATGCATGAAAATTTTGAAACAAATGAACCTTTTTGAGGGTTTATAGTATGAATAAAACTCAATATTACCTAATAAACCTCCAATGATCATGGGGATGGTATAGAAAAAGGGAGGGAAGACATTTAAAATGAGATATAGGTATCTAGTACTTAACTCTATGGAAAAAACATTCATTAGATATAAAGAAATGTCAGATTATCCTCTATATCCGCATGAAATTGTGAATTTAAAAGATATATAGAGGGTTTAAATGATATCTAAACCATGGTATTTACCGTAGAATCTATTTTATTTTGAAATTTAGTATAATTAAAAGTAAGTTTTGGCATGTAAATGTGAATAAATAGCTAAAAAATGGGTCGAATATATATATTTAGCATGTATATATGCAAATTTAGAGTAAGACTAAGATAAAATGATATATAATTCGAGTTCTCCTAAAAAAAGGAATATTGAGGAAATTAATATAGTTAATTTAGAGGATATAAAATAGGAAACAAATAACAATATATAAATTGAGGAAAAAAAGGAAGCTATTTTTAGAGGAAATATAAAAGACGGCATAGAAAAATACGGAAAACAATTATAAAGATATTCTTCTTAAACGTAGTTAGGTCCTTAAATGCCTTTAGAAAATATTTGCGAGGAAATAGAAAAGAAAAATTAAGAGCTAAATTCAAGTAATTAAGAAGAGGAAGAAATAGTCAATTTCGATTCTTTCAAAATTCTAAAATTAATAGGAAGAGGTTCCTTTGGGAAAGTGTTTCTAGTAAAAAAAAAAACACGAATAATATATATGCTTTGAAAATTATGGAAAAAATACCTTTAATAGTAAATGAATAACTTAAATATGCGATAACAGAGGCTAATGTATTAAAGAAATGTATTCATCCATTTATTTTAGAGTTACATTATGCTTTTTAGGTAAAACAAATGATATAAACTAGTATATATATATATATATTAATATATATATATTAAAATATATATATTAATATATATATATTTTAATATATATTATTTGTTCAAAAAGACCCCTAAGAATTTATATTTAGTAATAGATTATTGTAAAGGTGGGGATTTATCTAAATACATTAAGTCGAATTAAAGATTTAGTGAACCTTAAGCTATTTTCTTTATATCAGAGATTATTTTAGCTATTTAACATTTACATGAATAGAATGTTATATATAGGGATTTAAAACCAGATAATATATTAATTGGAAACGATGGGCATATTAAATTAGCTGATTTTGGACTTTCTAAAGAAAATGTACATGATATATCAGTAACCAAATCTTTTTGTGGAACACCGGCTTATTTATCACCGGAAATGCTTGTTAACAAAGGAGTTACTAAATGCTCTGATTTGTACGGAATTGGGGCATTGTTATATGAAATGTTGACTGGACATCCTCCATATTTTAATTAAGATATTGATAAATTATATAAGAAAATATAAAAAGAAAGTTTAACATTCCCGCCTTATTTAAGTTCAAATGCTAAAAATATTCTTAGTGTAAAATAAAAATTTGAATATTTTTTTTTATTAATAAATAAATAAAAGAAATTACTTGATAGAAATCCTAACAATAGATTAAGAAGTAAAAATAGAGAAGATATTAAAAAAGATCCGTTTTTTCAAGGCGTTAATTGGAATTAAGTACTAAATAAATAATACGATCCTCCTTTTTAAATTGAATTTGATATAGATGATGAAAAAATCAAAATCTTAGAAGAATCTAATGTTATATATATAATATAAGAAGATTCATATAAATATATATATTAATTTTTAAATAGTCAAAAGTAATTTTTACAGATTTAGATTACGATGAAACTAATCAAAATAAAAATAGAGTTAAATTGTTTAGTTTTGTAAAAAAATGAAAATATATATATATAAATATATATATATATATATATATATATATATATATATTTTTAATCATAAATTAGGTTTTTTTTATTAAGTATACTTATATATTAATTCTTATTAAACATTATATTATTATAATATTTAAAGTGTGTTTTCACCTCTTTTAGGAATCATTTTAAATTCTTATTATTAATTTTAATCATTCGTGAGTAATGGTTATTTTATAAATTAAAAATTGTTATTTTTTTAGTCTTTAATTACTATATTTAATATATCTTTTCTGTTTGGTAACTCGCTTATTTCTAAAACAGGACCTACACAACAATCTAAGGGTAAAAATATTTCGATCCATTCGTCTCTAGTTTTCTAAATAAATATATTTTCAAATAAAGTAGAAGTTTATAACCATTTATCTTAATCAAATTATTATTAAAGAAATAACTCTTTATTTTGAATATCTAAACCTTATAAAAATCTGTCATAAAAAGTACTCTCTATACATCCAACAGTTAAATATTTATTATCTAAACACTATTAAAAATAAATATATATATAGATAAATATATAAAATTGCATATAAAAATATAAATATATATATATATATATATTTATAATTATATAATTTATAATATATATATTTATTTTCGTTGTTTAGTTTACTTTATATGTTCTATAGAATGGTGCCCCTCCATCTAATGTATTTTATCCTCTTTATTTATTCCATAAACCTTTTATTTACATATTATGCAGGAAACTACCCATATATGCTACACAATGTGTAAGACTTATGTCTACTGTTTATCCCTATTTTATTTTTTATTTTTATAATTTTATTTTTATTACTTTCCCTGTTTTTACTCTTTCGTATAATGCTAATAAAATTCCGAGTGCTCCAAAACCTCCTCCGGCTGCAAAGTCAGCTAAAATATTATTAGGAGGGTCATGTCTATATTGAAAAGGGCTAAAAGTCGATAATATACCTGAAAAGCCTAAATAATTTATATCATGACCTGCTAATTTACTTAATGGTCCCTTTTATCCATATCCAGTAACCCTTGCATATATTAATTTATCGTTTTATATATCTTAAGGACCTATTCCAACTTTTTCTAGTACTCCAGGTCTGAAACAATCAATTAATATATCTGCTTTATTTATCATTTATTTAAGAATTTAAATATGAAGTGGGTTTTTGAAGTTTATTATCAGTGATTGTTTTCCACGATTTAAATATGTCTAATCTGTGTCGATTCCTATAGGATTTTAATTATTTTCACGGTTTATTATAGTCACTTAGGCACCAAAATCACTCAATATAAAACCCAAAAATACAGTAGGAGCAAGACCTTCAAATTCTATTACTTTTAAGCCTTATAGAGGTAAATTCATATAAGTGTATATTATTTTATTTTTGGATATTTATTTACACTATATGTAAATAATATAAAGGAGTTTTTTTGAAGAATAGTATATATTATGATGTTAATTATTTTTATAAATTATTTTAATATTATAATTAATAAAGGTTTGTTAAATTTATTACTAATAAAATTTATTAATTTTGCTTTAAAAAAAAATGAAATTCATGAATATATATATATGTAAAATTGAAAATATTAATAATATTTTAAAATAATAAGAAAAATTAAAGATAACTTTATATATAATTAAAAATAGGAAAAACAAAAATATATTATTTAATTTTTTTTATTTATTATTAAAATATATATAAAATTTGTAATAATAAATAAAAATATATTTTTAACATTAATATTATTATTATTATTATCATTATTATTATTATTATTAAATATATTATTTTATTAATATTTTTTTTTACCAATCTAATTTTTTATATTTTATATATATTAAAATTTTATAATTAAAATTTTTTTTTTTCATATCTATTTTTTATATCAGATTCGTGTTACTTTATTTTTTAATTTTAAATTTTTTTCTTATTAATATTTTATATTTAATACCTTTGCAATTTTTTATAATATTTTTTTATTTTAATTTATTTTTAATACAATTTAAATTTAAATCAATTTTTTTATTTAGATATTTTCTTAAAATAATATCTTATTTTTTTTAAATATAAAAATAAAATAAAATATATATATTTTTATTATTGATATTTTTTTTTAATATGTTAAAAGATTTATTGTGATAATATATTAATAAATATAAATATAAATATAAATATATAAATATATAATAATAATAATTTATTTCTTG